TGCGAATCATTTCATTTATATTTTAAACATGTTTTCGTAAAATGACTCATATATATATTATTATATATTACTTTAATTTCCCCCCCGAAGTTGCCAGTTAAGGTTGATGTACCTGAATAAAAATCCAAATATGTTATGCATCATAAAATATCCATTATTATTCACACCTTTTATTACCGTCTGGTGAACATTCTTAAAAGAAATATAAAATAATCCAATTTTTGTATATGTCTACATTACAAAGGATTTAGCATCAAAGAAAAATATGCGTGTTTTAAATCAAAACCCGTTACGCGTTATCGATCACATATGGTTTCACTAGAGAACACTAGTTATAGCTTGAGCAGGTCCACTTTATTAGAGTTTAAATTTTCACCTTAAATTTAGTGTGAATGTTAGTGTTGTTTTAACTCTAAAGGTTGTACTCTTGTAGTGTAACACATTTAACACAGTTCTTGCGACTTCATACACTATTTGATTGAAAATTACTACATTAACCGTGTTCGGTAGCTCTCGAAAAGTGTTCACTTTGACAATAATTTGACTTTTGAACCAGTATTAATATTCGTCTTTTTATATAGACTATAAAACATATATATTGAAGGTTTTCAATGATTCTGCTCTTATTAATTTTTATATATTAATTTATTTTTAATTATATGAATTACTTTTGGGTAGCGCTGCTGGGGTGTTTCTACAGTATATAATATATATATATATATATATAATATATATATATATATATATATATATATATATATATATATATAGTATATATATAGTATTATATATATTATATCGGGTGTAATTTGTTGGCATTCACACTGTTTAAAATATCTGTGGTGTAAAGAGTAATCTTAAAATGGTGTCAAAATCCAACACCAAGTGGTGTTAATATAAAAACCATGAATTATGGTTGAAAATATTATATACAGCAAACACCAAAACGTTGTTTATCTAAAAATATTTTAGAAGGGCACCTACACAGAAAAAAAGGAATAGCTCATTTAACTATATTAATTTACTTGACGCATAAGTATTAATTTAAATCAACTTTGCGAAGGTTAATATAAATAAAGATTAGTTTGACGGTACTAAAACAGATAGTTATGTTATTCTTTTTAAATTGGTTAAATTAACCCAGAAAACTTTAGTGAAACCAACACGCTGTATGGTTCAGTTTACTAAATATTATGTTTGTAAAATGCATTCGATAGTACCAATCCATCTGACAGAAAACGGTTCATCCATAAACTGCGGTACAGGTAATTGCTGAAATATCGGATTTCCCAGCAAGAAAAATGGTCCAATTATGTGATCACCAAAAATTATATATATTATATACCACGAAAAATTATATATATTATATACCACGATGTACGACGTACATTGTACGTGTCTATTTGCATGCCTTTTATTAACCAAAGTTGCCCTTACTCTTGCACATTGATTGTTTATAAAATAAAATTAAGCAATTTTAACTCTCTCCCCAAAAGAATAAACATTTTTTTATGGAAATGAAAGAAAATAACGAACTATTCACATCAACTACTTTACTGAAGATAAAGTCGAATTGTCGACTGATATTTGTTAGTTTAAAAACAATTTTTTCAACGTATTGTTTGCTTTACGTAATTTGTAAATACACTGTTCAAAATTTCATGACCATTTTAACACCAAATTAACTCCATACATGGTCTATATCGATACAAACCAAAATGGTGTTAAATATGGTTCGTTGGTTTAAAGTAAATTCAAATACTAAAATAGTGTAAATTTAACTTTCACTAGTATTAAAATAAATTTTACTTGGTGTAAATTGAACTCCTTTTCAGTGTTAAATATTATGTGTTTTTGGTAAAATTAAATAATACTATACAGAAAAAAAGGAAAAAAAGGAAACAGGAAGTTCCTTGACGCATTACTAGTATATTATTATATTATTCTAGAAAATTGAACCTTCAACTCGCTAGAGATAATGTTTTTAGTGCGTTCCACCAACTTAAAATACTTCAAGTATTGACAGCTGTTTCAACCTATTTAAGGTTTCTTTAGTATCGAACAACTTGTAGTGTCACACCAAAGGACTATCTGAGCTTATATACTCTTCATGTAAGTCAACACAGGCGAGAAGAACATGACGTGATCCACACCGCCTTTGCCGCGATCGGTACAACTATGCAACCAGGAATGCAAGGCAAATTGTTTTAATCGTTTTAACAGAGTGCTTTAGGTTGAAGTAACTCTTATTTTACAAACAACATATTTAGTAAACTGAACCATACAGCGGGTTGGTTTCACTAAAGTTTTCTGGGTTAATTTAACCAATTTAAAAAAAATAAAATAACTATTTGGTTTAGGACTTTCAAACTAATTTTTGTTTATATTAACCTTCCCACAGTTTAAATAAATACTTATGGGTCAACTAAATTAATATAGTTAAATGAACTATTCCTTTCTTTCTGTGTAGGTGCACTTCTCAAATATCTTAACACCATTTTGGTGTTTGCTGTATATAACATTTTTAACCATAATTCATGGTATTTATATTAACACCACTTGGTGTTGGATTTTGACACCATTTTAAGATTACTATTTACACCACAGATATTTTAAACAGTGTAAGCGGTCCAGTAAAATGTTCAAAAATGAGGTAATGAGGTTAATGTGGGGATAGTGTATATTATATACTTTTTTCACTCACTTAGGGAACCTCCTGTTATACAGGAATCGTACAGTTTCTACATTTTAAGAGTTAATTCAAAAAATATTTCGGACTAGAGAAAACAATGTGCGATGCGACTGTTTGCCTTCTGGCTAACGATATCAGAGGTCAAACCTCAAATTACAAATTCTGGAAATTTTTAATATATTGTATACTTTGCAGCCTGATTATCTACCCAACTAATTCAGCAGCAGGTTATGATATTATTACTTTGGGTTAACGATGTAATTAGAAAATTGATATCGACTTTGCTGGGGGTATTAAATTTCTTAATCCATTTGAAGATCAATTAAGGCGTGCTTAGAATTGTTTGAAAACATTTACTGCCAAGAAATTATAAAGTTAGTATGAGTAAAAAACATTCATTTATTTTAATATTAAAATACAATAAAGTTTTAAATATTTTGTGAAATCTGAATTTTAGTCAATTATGCATTAAATTTTTAATTTTAACGAAATATTAACAAAATTTTTTGTTAATCCAGGTCCACATAACTTTATGTTAAGTTTACAACCAACTGTAATCTGTTAATTAATTGAATAAGTAGTTTTTAATTATAACAAACATTTTGTAGATTTAATAACAAAATCCATTTATTTTGTTTATTTATTTATTTATTAACACTGCATCATAGTTTAACAAAACAGTTTTATAACTGGTACCGTCAAAACCATATTAATTTTATAAGTAGTTCTTCTTAATCGTCCATTCCATTATAATATATTATATATTATAATTCTTATTATTTTCAATAATCATTTCAAATATCCATTTTGTCAATAATTTAACCATATCCATTTTGTCAATAATTTAACCATAATTCTTGTAATTTTCAAAAAGGACATTATTTTTACAAAACTTTTTGTAGATGTATTTTGTAACTAAAACTCACTTTACTATATCCCCTAATTTCAGTTTAAAACCTGTTTTTTATACTTCGGACACTCGTTAAATAGGTATAAGGAATCCTAATAAAAAATAATAACAGACTTCTTGTAATATATTACAAAAACTACACTTTACGAAGTAGAATAATGTAAGCAGAAACATACTTTGCAGACGCTGAAGCCAGTTGAACTTGTTGATGCGTATTGTCAGTGCCACTGGGAAATGTTTTCATTGAGTGCCTGAAATCACGTGTACTTTTTTAACAAATTAAATTATTAAACATTAACAAAATAATCTGTAACCTTTGAAATTAACTACTACTAATTTTTTTTAGAAACAGTTTCTATATGTACATTCCACAATAATCTATTATCAAGCAAAACTCCCAAAAATCCTGAGCTGTAAGTGAAATTGTTATTTTCAACATTAATTGTTCTTAGGCTAAAAATAGTTTTATTTGTTTTACCTGTATTAAGCAGAAGTCTGTTTGCACTGAACCAGCTTTCCACCTTTACCTGAGCTTCCTCTAATTTAAGTAATGACTCTTCCAAGTGTCGTCGGAAAAGAGAGTAAACTTTAAATCCAAATCCAATAGTGGCAAGTCGTTTATATATATTAGGAACAAAATAGGACCCAATATAGAACCCTGAGGAACTCCTATATTTGTAGAACCCTTTTCTGAAACTTCTCCCGAAACTTTAACTACTTGACATCTATTTTCTAGGTAAGATTTTAACATGTTTACGCTGTTAGTATTAAAACCATAAAATTGTAGCTTTTTTAACAAAATATTGTGATCGACACAATCAAAAGCCTTGCTCAAATCGCAGAACATTACGGCTTTATGCTGTTTTTTCTTAAAAGACTCTAATATATCAGAAGTAAGATTTGTAATTGCCGAAGTTGTATTCATATTTTTTCTAAAACCATATTGGTTTGAAGAAAATAAATTGTTGTGTTAAAAAAACTTGGTTATTTGATTTGCCATGGACTTTTCTATAACTTTAGAAATTACAGGAAGCAGAGATATTGGTCGGTAATTTTCAAACAAACTTGAGACGATCTTAAAAATTGGCACAACTACAGCTTGTATTAATATATTTGGAAATTTACCTTGCCTAAAACATAAATTAATTAGTTTTGTTAGTGGTACTATTATTAGGTTTTTGACAGTTTTTATAATTTTTAGGCTGATACCAAATATATCCGAACTGCTTTAAGGGCTTGCTAGGCTTTTACTTGGTTTTTAAATCAATAAGATACGATAATTTTTAACAAAGTTATTGGAATTCAAAGTTACGGACAGCGGAAGGCGGGTGTTTTTTTAAAACGACCCATTTACTACTAAAACTTTACTAAATTTCTATATTTTTTCTTGTGTTCCAGAGCCTGTAACCGAAATCCTCGGCAGCCCGGAGCTTTTCATCAACATGGGTTCCACCATAAACCTGACCTGTCTGGTGCGTCACGCGCCAGAGCCGCCTCCGACCATGACTTGGCAGCACAATCAGCTCGTCATTAATTTCGATTCGCCTCGTGGCGGCATCAGCCTCGTCACCGAAAAAGGACCTGTTACGACCAGCAAGCTGCTGATACAGAAGGCCGCGCCCAGCGACTCGGGCTTCTACACCTGCTCCCCATCCAACGCCAACTCCGCAAGCATTCGCGTTCATATCTTGAATGGTAAGTGGTTGGATGAGAGAATGCGGTTTGTAGCAGGGCCTTTCCATCTCATTTTTTCTTTTTCCTTGAATTTGTTTTGTTCACCTATGGGAAATTTTTGAAAAATGATCAAACATCGATTTTTCTCTTTTTACCAGTGACATTTTTTATTGAAAATGCGATAACTTGGCCAAAAAAGGTTCGTTCGTTACATTTTTTTTAAATTTTAGGTAAATGTTTACCAATGTTTTTTAATTGTTTTTTTTTTCTAAAAAAGGGAAAAACTAAGGTCAAAATTTTGACATAACCTCTTTTTTTACTTCATATGTTTTTGTTTGAGGTCCCGAGTTGACTAAATTCGTCGGATTTTTTTTATGTAAATGGCATTTCTAGTATATTTGTGGTTTATCGCAAAATCTTGGTATTTTATCTAGGGTCATGAAACTGGGGTGACCTTTATAAAGTGTCAACTTTTGAGCTCATTTTGTTTATATAGTTTTTGGAGAAAATTAAACAGTATTTTGTTTTGAGAACATAGATGATATAATAAATATACTGCTCCAGACCGGTGAGTACTTTTTAAACAGTTTCTGAAATATCTGTGTTTTCTAAATTTGAATGTAACGGAAGTGACGAGTAAACCAGGGTACTAATTAAATACATAATTTAATGGAAAATATAATATTTATTGCAACTTTGAGCATATTATACATTAAATATCTTAAAATCAATAACACCACACATCAGTGGCGGCTGGTGGATTTTGGGTATACCGATATCTCAATTATTAGATATGGGACCCACACCAAATTTATATGAGTTTATAATTGAAGTTTGCGAAAAAAAGATAACCGAAACGTCGAACATGGAACTGACGACACGGTACTGATGAATGGGATACAAATTTGAGATTATAATTCGGAATTAAGTATTTTACTGATATTTTTATTAGTGGATAATACTTATCATCAAATCACATATAGCCTTATATAAATTACAATGAAATATATATACGTAAGAAAATAACTACTCACCACAGTACTTAAATTTTGACTGAAACTATTCGTGCATTCACCACAACTTTGCCGCTTGCATTCAATATTTCGCAGGAATTTTGAATTTTAACATTGGACACAGAACTGACGGGTAAAAGTGAGTACAAAGATTATCAATTTTTTAACATTGGACACAGAACTGACGGGTAAAAGTGAGTACAAAGATTATCAATTTTTTAAAAATTGCTATTATTCGAATCTATGATAAAATATGAAAAATACATTATTTAATGTTTTATAGTTTGTAGTGAAATTAAAAAAATTAAGATAAATTGAATATATTTTAAAATAAAATCACTCAAATATTTGATTCAGGAGTTGTGACACGCCAAGGTACTGATGTTTTGAATATTTATTATGTTTTTCTACAAACGTGCTTTTGAAAAAATACATTAAAATTGGGTGGACAAGTTAAAAAAACCTGGATCTTTTGTAATATACTAAAATATTTACAAAAAATATTAAAATACCTACTCTATTGACTGATGACATCAAGTTATCCAACTTTTGTAGAATCACCCATATGTCATTTGACAATTTTTGACATGTCAAATTATTTTTTGATTAAATTTCATTTCTATATCTATAGTGCCTTGAATTGGCTTTTCTGCTTCATGTTTGGCCAAGTAGTATGGAAAAAATACAATTTTATTCTTTTTTTGCAATTATGGTTTTTAGAAACTTTTAAAAATTGATAAACCATACTTTATGCAAAACTATTTTTTTTGTATAAAATACTTAAATAATTAATACTAGCGCTTTAAACTCTTAATTAAATTTTAATGTTTATTAAGTTTTAAAGTATGTACGGAATTAAATAAATTAAGAAGGCTTTGAAACCTTTGTGTTTAAAAGAAATATTAGATTTGACAGTTCGTTAGTTTGTTAGGCTGTTAAGTGAATTTTATTTTAACATGAAAACATACGCTTAAACTTTTTATAAAATAAAATAAAAATAATAATTGAAGTGGTTGGAATCAAAGGGGTGTAAGTAATTGATCAACATTTTTTGGTTTTAAAACTACCAAATAATAGTTATTTATGGTACTAGTGTGTTATGTTGAAAATAAGTAACGCGAGAAAGAATTCCTGCAGAAAAGGGAAGCTTTTTTTAAGAAAAAAAAACGTATAGAAAAAGGAGGAAACAGATTAAAATTACATTCCTGAGGATATCCTTAAGCGGAAGAAGCACCGATGCAGATTTTGCCAGAAAAGTCTCGAGATCCTTACAACAAGGAGTTCAAAATGTTTGAGTCTTGGATGTATTCACGGAAGAAAAAAGGTATTGATGAAAATGTTCTGTTGGCTTATATTTTACATTTGCATTCGCTTGACTATTCACCTTTATAAAAAAATCGACATTTTAAAATATAGCAAACTAACTAGCTTTTTGAAAAACAAATCACAGGGATACAAACTGAAGAAGTCCAAGACATTGGAACTACCTGAAATAAAGTTTTTGAACGAAGCTCCCGACGACGACCTGTTGATGAAAATGGCTTTGATAATGGGGATGAGCAGTGCTTGTAGATGCAATTTGAAAATAGAAAATAGACAAAGGGAAATATTTTCATGTAGTTTACCAGACACTAAAACCAAGAAATTGGGAAGTTTCACCATACTTGAAGAAGGATTTTCGGTCAACCCGGTCAATTTGTGTAAAAAATGACCAATGAGACCAAAGAATACTTAGTATTCTAGTCTAGTCTAGTTCTAGCCGGTTTTTTTTTACAAAAATGGGAGGTATACCAGCCAGTGTGTGAGAATAAATACGTTGTCGAAGATACCTTCAAGAATTGCAATGTTTTTGAAATTGGAGGAACCAGCGCTCTACACCGGTCACTGCCTGAGAAGGTCTTTGGCGACTCTTTTGGCCAATGCAGGGGCTAACTGACTACTTTGAAGCGTTACGGAGGATGATAGTCCTCGATGGTAGCAGAAGGATACCTAGAAGAATCAGTGCATGACAAAATACAAATTGCAGAAAAAATACAAGGTTCTAATGCGTCGGCGTCTTCCAGAACTTTCAGCAGCTGTACCTATATGGGAGCGACTGGTTCCAATAAACCAACGAATTTTACAATGACTTCAAATTCGAATAAACCGTTAGCGTTTTTCTTTAATTTCAATATCAATGTGAATTCTGCTTTTAGTAGTAAAAATAAATAGAATATTACTTTAAATATGAACTTGAGTTATAATCCATAATTCACTAGTGAGTTATGGATTTTTACACACTAGTGTGTTATTTGATAGTTTACTTGTCTAAAATGACATTAATAATGAAAGTCGTAACTGACATATTATTTTAGCATAAAAACATACGCTTAAAATTTTTATAAAATAAAATAAAAATAATACTTGAGGTGGTTAGAATCAGACTGGTGTAAGTAATTGCTCAACATTTTTTGGTTTTAAACCTACCAAATAAAATCATTTAATAGTTTTGAAACGATTATATAAAGTTATATTTAACCGCTACAAAGTGTGCCACACTTAGTGTGGTCATAGTAGGGAAAGTCTGGGAATAAATAAAAAAAACGAAATATGAAATTAAATAATTTTTTTTTATTTCTAAACATAATTAACCTGCGCATTCGTTTCTGGACCACTTAGGCTTGATACTTATTTCCCTTTCTAAAAACCTTTGCGCGACTGCCTCAAATATATCTGAAAACAGAATTGTTTGTTTTCTATGTTTCTTTGTAATCGCGTTTTCTTGTTTATTGTGCATTCGATTCATTACTTTTGGGTATATAATTCTTACTTTTTATTATTTTAACCAAAATTAACTTAGGTTTAAGTGCCAAAAATATGTTAAATATGTCAAAAAGTTCTAAATTAAACTTTATAAAGGTCACCCCAGTTTCATGACCCTAGATAAAATACCAAACTTTTGCGATGTACCACGAATTTACTGGAAAATGGCATTTTCATTAAAAAAATAATAATTCCGAAACGACGAATTTAGCAAACTCGGGACTCGAAAAAAAAAATTAAGAAGTAAAAAAATGTGTCATTATCAAAATGTTGACCTAATTTTTTTTACTTTTGTAGAAGATACAATTTAAAAAAATTGAGTAAATTCACTTAACTTTTTATATATTTTTTGTATATAGTAAACATTAATATACAATTAAAAAAAAATTTAACGATTAAAACATTTTTGGCCACTTTATCGCTACTATCGCTATTATCAAGAAAAAATGTCACTCGTAAAAAAATTCTGTCCATTTTTCAAAAATTTCCTACGGTTGAATAAAACAAATTTAAGTTAAAAGAAAAAATACGGGTCTCATAGATTTTGGTAGAGAAACTGTAAAAAAAATTTCGTTGGAAAATAACGACCTACCCCTTTTTGCCTGGTCGATTTTAAATGGAAAGGCCCAGCAAGAAAGTTATAACTCAACTTTTTTGTATACTTTTCAGTACTTTTCTTTTGCTCTTTTAACACCTTTTTCCAAAACTAAGTAATTATAATATGTAAAATGCACAATTCAGATTATTTTACACTCGGGAAACAACAAGTTTTCTAAGGTAATTTGATGATAATTAAACTAGGTATCAAACTAAATTATATGGATGGGGTAGAGGGAAAAAATATTTTACATTTTCCAAAAATTGCATTCTTTTTAAACCACCAAATTCGACATCACTTTTATATGGTTAATTTGAATTTTAATATAGGGAAACAAAATACTATTTTTTTGATTAAGTGTTCTGAAACCAGCGCGGAATGAAATTAGTAATTTCCAGACGACAGATGTGTTATGTGGACGGGTTCTGCGAGGCATGCAATTTATTCGGCAAAAGTTCTGACCTACCGAGTGAAATAAGCCACTTTCGTTTCTTAAATTTCGTCTAGCTTCGCTGATTCGCTAATACAGCAAACAGTAATGCTTCTGCTAGAACAATCAACCTTCATTTTCCCTTTGCATTAAACAGCTCGAGCTTGTGCCTGCTTAA